AAAATCAATAGCCTTAAGGTCAAATTCATGGGCTCATTTAGCATGAATTTTTTGTGATAGCAGCTTATGATTTTTACTTTGTATGCATGATTTTCTTGATAAATGGCATAACAACTGCTCCCAGAAAACCAACAGCCTTAAGGTCAAAATGACATCTTGTCGTTTCTAAAATTCGATCTAATTCATAGTGTTTTTAGGCGAGGATTGGACTGTTTACTTAAAGACTCTTAAATTCATAAAGTCACTAGTCGACCAATATATAGATGGTATGTTGCATGTCCATCAGAGATCCAGAAAACCTGGGTTAAATATTGTGGGGTCTTCTTCTCTATGTACTCAAATCGGATGAAAGCAATAGACCAACAATAGCGATACAAAAGTGGAACTTCTTGTTTACTCAGCTAAAGCAATACTTTCTTTTGTATTAATATTGATTAATTTACCATCAAAATGAAATATATATATACACACAGAGAAAAAGGCTTCTACCGACCTTGTAATAATGTTACAGTAATTTCATTAGAAGTAGGAGGCTTATTTCCTGTTGATGAAGGCATAGCCATGTCATTAAGAGATCTTTCCGAGTAAAAACCAGGTTGTTTAGGTTGACAAACAACTGGGTGCTCGATGTCTAACATTAATAAAACATTAGACATAGTAGGCCTGTCTTCGGGGCGTTGTTGTACACACAACAAGCCGACATGGATACATCTTAACACTTCAGATTCTGAATTGAGAATCACCAATGAGGCATCCAAAAGATCCATAGGATTTTCTTCCGTCCATAGATTCCAAGCCTATTGCAATCGAAAATCACGTAAAATTAGTGACTTAGTATGCTTATCCCTCGTAAAGAAATTACTGTATTTTAAACTCACATGTCCCAAGAGGTTGAGGTCGTGACCAGGATGATGAAATCCTCTATTTTTCTTCCCAGTTACTATCTCCAAAACAACCACTCCAAAGCTAAACACATCAGATTTCATCGAAAAAAGTCCGTCTATAGCATATTCAGGAGCCATGTATCCGCTACACAAAATAATAAAACAAGTTTTAGGAGAAATACAAACCAAGACAGAGTACAAAAGGAGGAAAGAAGCATGATAGCTTACTAAGTGCCCATGACTCTTTTTGTATTTTCTTCATATTGATCCCCTCCAAATGTTCTTGCCAAACCGAAGTCTGAGATTTTAGGATTCATATCTTTATCCAGAAGAATATTGCTTGCTTTCAGATCCCTATGAATTATTCTCAACCTTGAATCACGATGGAGGTAGAGAAGCCCCCTGGCAATTCCCGCTATGATGTCGAAACGCTTCTGCCAACTTAGAGTTGTATCCTTTGTTTGATCTAGGTAGATTGATCAAGGCATTCAAAAATTTAGCTCTGAAATCCTAAAATTGATTGTGGAGATGTAGATTAATTGTTGAGAGACTTACTGAAAATGAACAAGTCCAAACTCTTGTTGGGCATGTATTCGTAAACTAATATTCTCTCTTCTCCATGAATGCAGCAACCCAGTAGCTTAACTAGATTCCTATGCTGTAGTTTCTCGATCAAGATAACTTCATTCTTGAACTCTTTAAGGCCTTGTCCAGAATCTTTGGAAAGTCTTTTAACTGCTATTTCTTTTCCCGTTGGGAGGACACCCTGTGGGGAATGATGAAATTCAAAAATCAGTCAACTGGCCAGTAAGATATGTAATAATTTTTTTTAATTCAAATAAAATAAATATATACTGACCGAAAACTACCTTATAAACGGGGCCAAAACCTCCTTGCCCAATTTTATTTGTAAATGAAAATTCATTAGTTGCAGTTGAAATTGTGACAAAA